GATTACAGGCTTGAGCCACCGCGCCCGGCCATTTTTGGGATCTTTTAGAGGATAAAACTACCGGAGGTATCCTCTCTAAGGTTCAGAAACTTCACTGGAAATGCTTTGTTCTGAGAATTTTTGGTAAAGACTAGTTTGTTTATCCAGTGAAGCACCTGCCAGCCATTACCGTTATAAAGTAAACAGTAAAGTAAATCCCTGCCATTACTTATCAGCTCTATCTAGAGTAGCCTGTGTGAGAAGTGACTTAATTGTAAATAGCCATCTGTCCTTGCGATTTGATTACTGATTGTACTTGATACTGTTTTTTCCTGTTGGTATCTTAATGTGAATGAATTTTCTTTTCTCTCTCTTTTTTTTTTTTAAGACAGTCTCGCCCTGTCGCCCAGGCTTGAGTACAGTGGCGTGATCTTCGCTCACTGCAGCCTCGGCCTCCTGGGTTCAAGTGATTCTCCTGCCTCAGCCTCCCGAGTAGCTGGGATTACAGGCGCCTGCCACCATGCCTGGCTGATTTTTGTATTTTTAGTAGAGATGGAGTTTCTCCATGTTGGCCAGACTGGTCTTGAACTCATGACCTCAGGTGATCCACCTGCCTCGGCCTCCCAAAGTGCTGGGATTACAGGCTTGAGCCACTGCGCCCAGCCTGGAATTCTTCTTAGTGCTGATATTGATGAGCTTTTCATATCTGTTTCAATTACTGTGGAGGAGGAGTGCCTTTCATTTTGATATCTGTTCCCTCAAAGCATTTTTTATGTATTCCAGGTAGCTTATATTTTATCAGACCATTCCAAACTCCAAATTTGGTGATTCAGTTAGAGATAAACTTTATGTATATAGATTATCAAACTTTTTTTTTTTTGGTGTCCCTCTGTTGCCCAGGCTGGAATGCAATGGTGCGATCTCGGCTTACTGCATGCTCCGCTTCCTGGGTTCATTCCATTCTCCTGCCTCAGCCTCTAGAGTAGCTGGGACTACAGACGCCCACCACCACGTCCACCTAATTTTTTGTATTTTTAGTAGAGACAGGGTTTCACCGTGTTAGCCAGGATGGTCTCGATCTCCTGACCTCGTGATCCGCCTGCCTTGGCCTTCCAGAGTGCTGTGATTACAGGCGTGAGCCACCACGCCTGGCCCAAACTGGTTATTTTTTATTTCTTTTTAATTTTTGGATAGGTGATGTATATTTCTTTCTTCCTTTTTTTTTTTTTTTTTACTATAAGTTCTAGGGTACATGTGCACAATGTGCAGGTTTGTTACATACGTATACGTGTACCATATTGGTGTGCTATACCCATTAACTCATCATTTACATGAGATGTATCTCCTAATGCTATCCCACCCCATGACAGGCCTTGGTGTGTGATGTTCCCCATCCGTGTCTAAGTGTTCTTATTGTTCAGTTCCTACCTATGAGTGAGAACATGTGGTGCCAAACTGGTTATTTTTAAGAAATTCAAGTCACATTTTACTTTATAGTTGGCTCTCTCTTTCCCTTTTTTTTTCTTGAGAGAAATTTAAAAGAAATTCAAGTCACATTTTACTTTATAGTTGGCTCTCTCTTCCTCTTTTTTTTTCTTGAGAGAAATTTAAAGTCCCAAAAGGTGAAATTTCTAGAAGCCAGTGGTGGCCTAGTTAGCACTTTATTTGGGGGTCTCATACCCTAATGGTAAAATAAAGTGATAGCTCTATGTTTCAGAAACTGAGGGGGAAATTGCCACTTTATTTTTAAATAAAATAAGTGAGGTGTTAAGATCTGGAGAATTACCCCGTGTTGCATTTTTTATTTTTTATTTATTTTTATTACAATAGAGATGAGATCTCACTATGTATGTGGTTCTGTTTTTTGGAGACAAAGTCTTGCTCTGTTGCCCAGGCCGAAGGCAGTGGCCAGATCATGGCTTCCTGCAACCTTCGCCTCCCAAGTTCAAGCAATTTTCCCACCTCAGCCTCCTGAGGAGCTGGGACTACATATACACACCACTACGCCTGTCTAATTTTTGTATTTTTTTGGTAGAGACAGAGTTTCACCATGTTGCCCAGACTGGTCTTGAACTCCTGGGCTCAAGCAGTCCCCAGCCTCGGCCTCCCAAAGTGTTGGGATTACAGATGTGCGCCACCTTGCCCAGCTGGGTCTCTGTTGCCTAGGCTAGTCTCAGAACTCCTATACTCAAGCCATTCTCCCACCTTGACCTCCCAGACAGTTGTACTTTTTATACTAGAAAAGTAACAGTATAACATTGTTCTGTTTAAACATACTACTAGGGGCAAATACATTTAAAATTAAATATTTGTTTCAGTGGTTGTTAAATTGTGTTAAAAAAATGAGTTAAAAGTGGAAAGTTCTGAAATAAGCTGTAGTTATCAAATTGAAAAAACATTAAAATTAAATGCTCAAGTTTTTCTAGTCCATACCTACTTTATCTTAATTGACTTCTATAGAAGATATTCCCTGCTTAATCATTTTAAAAATAAAGATAGCTTTACTGAATTGAATTTAATAGGTTTTTGAAGTGAAAGAAGACCAATTTTATTTGTAAGTTTTATGAAGGAGGGCTTAGACATCACACTGTCAGTAGATCTTTTGATTTCATGTTGAATCTTTGCATATTCTTTCTAATTTTTAAGTTCTGACATTTTGTTTATGGCTTTTTGGGGGGTTTTCATTGCAGGATGACGATGACTATTCATCATCTACGAGTTTGCTTGGTCAGAAGAAGCCAGGATATCATGCCCCTGTGGCATTGCTTAATGATATACCGCAGTCAACAGAACAGGTGACCTTTTATTTTAAAAGCATAGTTTATTCAGCTAAAGAAAAGTGAATGTCTGAGTTCCCATAGAAACCCATAAATTTTAGGATGCTTTAAGGAGAATTATAAATAATAATTTATTTTGTAAAGGTGTAATCTTCTTTTTTTTTGACACAAGGTCTTACTGTCTTGCTCAGGCTGATCCCAAACTCCTGGGCTCAAGCATTCCTCCTGTCTCAACCTCCCAAGTAGTTGAGATTATACACACAGGCCATCACGCCTGGCTGTAATCATGTAGTGAAGCATTGAACTATGGAAATGTGGATATGTATATTACCTTGTTTCCATATGCCTTATTTTTTTATATTAACATTTATCTGTGAAGCAGTACAGAATATTAGTAGACATGTATTAAACATTTGTGCTTTACAGTGTTCTGATTTTTGTTTATGATATTCTGCTTTGTTATTTTAATAAAGTGGATATTAAGTGAGACATACCTCTTTTCAGTATGATCCATTTGCTGAGCACCGACCTCCGAAGATTGCAGACCGGGAAGATGAATACAAAAAGCATAGGCGGACCATGATAATTTCCCCAGAGCGTCTTGATCCTTTTGCAGATGGTAATTCTTTCCCACTTTTCTATAAGTATTCAGAAATTTATTTGTATTAAGTTGTCTTTAGCCCTTTGATTTTTTTTGGCATGCTTCTGAATTTGCTTTTCTTTTTAAAAATCCCCCCTGCTATAGATTTGTATAGATTTGGTTGAAGTCACAGATGCCATATTCTTCATCTTTATAATGCAAGTTTTCTTTCCAGGTAGAAGGACAAGAAAAAAATGAGCCAATGCCATAGAAACGCAAAGGGTTAAAGGTTTTACTTTTACTTTTGTTTTGGGTACGCTTTCTATACTTGGAACAAATGTGTTTTTCTGCTCAAAATACTTTCAAATTATTGAAAGTTTTCATTCCAAATCCTAGATGTTTAGGATTGTTACCCTTGAGAAACTGTTTCTCACACTAGAACTCCCCCCATAGTGCTCTAAATATAGCTTAGTAAAGGCACCTACTTTGCTCTAAGCATACTTAAAGTTAAAACAAAAGTATGTATACAAAGAGTGTGATATTTTTAATAGTTGGAGTCTGTTTTGCTAATTTTAGTGTGCAAGTCAGCACAAGGGGCATAGTGAGCCTGTGGAAGCTTTCCTCAGGTGAGTGAGTTTCACAATCAAAATTAGGTGCCTGTTTCTTAAAATTAGATTCTGCTGCAGGTTTACATACTAGATTTTCAGCCTGCATGAATTAGTAGGGATATTCTTTTTTTACTTGCATAATTGTAATTGATTTAAACATGTATGCCAGAATTCACAGGCCCATACTAACTGTCCTTAATTTCTTTCCTACAGCAGTACTGCTATATGCCAGTCCTGTCTGCATTCTTAAGGGTGCAGTTCAACACATCCTCTCTAGATTATGGTGAAAAAGTATTCCAAAGGAAGTCTTATCAGAGCTAGTGTCAGAAAGAATGACACTACCAATTGGGCATGATCTTCAGCATAGGAAATGTCTTAGAATTTTATTATTTTTTCCTAAATTGTGATGCTATACCACTTGTATAGCTAGTTACCACATTTCTAAAGCATAATGTGCCTCTGTGAATCTTGTTATATACTGTTTGGGCTTCTGTAAGATATTTTGAAGTTTGAAAAGCAAATACTGAAACTTTAACCAAGAGACCAACACATCTCTTTGTACACCATGTTGCTTCTGTGTGCATCATAATAACTGGTAGAAGTAATATATTTCAAGTAATATGATTCCAGTTTTAATTTATGCTTTCTAAGAAATAAAAATATGTTTTCTGGGTCAAAAAACTTAAAGCATGAAGCCCTTTTTAGTAACGTGACATCAGAATAAGATTATAGGTATATTTTTAAAATCAGATTTTTAAACTACAATTGTTTTAGAACACTGTATGAAGAACTTATCTAGTCATAGTTATTTGTAGTCAGGATTTTAACAACTTGCAACAGGTAATGTTTTGAATATAAATATCTTTCCAAAGTGTTACTAATGGTAAAGAGATAATTTTCTAGGCTTCTATTCTGCTGCTTGAAGTCAGAACTGCTGATGGAGACAAAGGCACGAAAGTGTACGTATTCCGGATTAGCAACCCAGGAACCCATCACTTCTGAAGACTCTAAACTGTGCTGTCATTTTGTTTTTATATGCATTAAAATATTTGTTTTAAACTGCTGTAGATGTTTGTGTTCAAACAGGTTAAATTGATCAGCAAACTCAATAAAAAGTAAGATGTATAATTATTAAAGTTTTCCATCAAAAAATAATTTAAATGATTATGGAATAACATAATATTTAGAGCAGGGCAGATAAATCAGTTGAACCCGATTATCTTTTATTTATTGTACTCTTTTCCTGTTGCTGTTCTTTTCTGCAGGAGGGAAGACCCCTGATCCTAAAATGAATGCTAGGACTTACATGGATGTAATGCGAGAACAGCACTTGACTAAAGAAGAAGTATGTAAACCTATCTCCTGTTTTAATGGTTATGAAAGAATGTAAATACAGTTGTGATTGAGAGACTGTTATGCTTCTTTTTTGCTATTTGCTGCACAAATATTTTAATAGTATTAATAAAAATTAACTGAGAAAGAATCTTACCCCCAAATTATACCACCTTTCAAAATCATTTCTATATCCTTTTCTAGTCCTGGGTTCCTTGGCTGTATATGTATGTATGTGTCTTACAGGGGATTTTTTTTTTTTTTGAGACAGAGTCTCACTCATCCAGGCTAGAGTGCAGTGGCGTGATCTTGTCTCACTGCAACCTGCGGCTTCCCAGGTTCAGGTTATCCTCCCACTTCAGCCTCCTAAGGAGCTGGGAACACAAGTGTGCGTCACCACGCCTAACTAATGTTTGTATTTTTAGTAGAGATGGGGTTTCACCATGTTGGCCAGGCTGGGCTCGAACTCCTGACCTCAGGTGATCTGCCTGCCTCGACCTCCCAAAGTGCTGGGATTACAGGTGTGAGCCACTGTGCCTGGCCATTACAGGGGTTATTTCCGTGAGGAAGGTTGATGGTGTGTATCTGAACCTAGTATGTTAGGGAAAAGTCAAAGAGTTCAGTGTGAGATTCTATAAGTTTCAGTTTGGATGTAAGTGGAGAATTTTGAATAATTCCTTTTGGCCTACAGAGATTATGCCATTTTGTCTAGTAACCGCCTATTTTTTTGTTTTTTGAGTGGAGTCTTGCTTTGTTGCCCAGGCTGAAGTGCAGTGGTGCAATTTCAGCTTACTGCAACCTCTGCCTTCCGGGTCTAAGCGATTCTCCTGCCACAGCCTCCTGAGTTCCTGGGATTGCAGGTGTGTGCCACCATGCCCAGCTAATTTTCGTATTTTTTTTTTTTTTTAGTAGAGATGGGGTTTCGTTATGTTGGCCAGGCTAGTCTCGAACTCCTGACCTCCGGCAACCTGCCCGCCTTAGCCTCCCAAAGTGCTGGGATTACAGGCTTGAGCCACCGCGCCCGGCCGTTGCATAGTCTTAATTGCTATTTATATTAGTTTTGAAGAAAACCCTATTTTTCAGTGGAAGCATTATGGTTCTCCATTGTTGACTGAAGATTTTACTTCACCTACAATATATAAACTACAGTGTGCTATGTTACAAATTCTGAACTTGCTTATCTTTTGTTTAGAAAGACAGGCATTATGTAAAATGAAATAAAGACACAGACTTTGGAACCAGCTAGCATAGAAGGGAGACCACGAGTACCACAGAAAGGAGAATGAGCAAAGTATAAAATAGGATGTTAAGTGGAAATGATTGTGCTAATGATAGAAAAATATATTGAAAGCATTTTAAAGGTAAACACTCACTGTTTTTTTTTTCAGCGAGAAATTAGGCAACAGCTAGCAGAAAAAGCTAAAGCTGGAGAACTAAAAGTCGTCAATGGAGCAGCAGCGTCCCAGCCTCCATCAAAACGAAAACGGCGTTGGGATCAAACAGCTGATCAGACTCCTGGTGCCACTCCCAAAAAATTATCAAGTTGGGATCAGGCAGAGGTAATTTCTTTTTGTTTTTTGTTATTACTGTTTAAAATTTTTTTCTGTTATGGACTGTATTAGTCTGCTTGGGTTGTCATAAAAAGATACCACAGACTGGGTGCCTTAAACAACAGACATTGATTTTTTTCGCAGTTCTTGGAGGCTTGAAATCCAAGATCAGAGTACCAACAGGGTTAGTATTTGTTGAGGGCTCTGTTGCTGTATCCTCACATGGCCTTTCTTTGTGCCAGCAAGCTCTATTGTCCCTGGTCTTCCTATGAGGACATCAGTCTGTTAGATTAGGGCCCCACCCTCATGACCTCATTTGACCTTAATTTACCTCCTTAAAGACCCAGTCTCCAAATACAGCCACACTGGGGGTTCAACATACAAATTTTGAGGGGCATGCAATTTAGCCCATGTCATAGAGTAAGGAAAGTTCTTTTTAGAATATTAAATACAGACCTGTAGGTATGTTACATTGTGGAGGTTGAGTGTGATATAGTGCTCTTCCTTATCTTCTAGATAGATAACTTAAGACCCTCACTACAGGCAGCAAATAGTGAATGCTACTTCATTCCCTTGGCCAGCCTACTCTCCTACTTTCTTTTTTGTTTTTTTAAACATTTGTTTTGGAGGTGGAATGCATTGGCTCATGCCTGTAATCCCAGCACTTTGGGGGCCCAGGTGGGAGGATTGGTTGAGCTCAAGGAGTTTGAGATCAGCTTGGGCAACAGAGGGAGACCCTGTCTTTACAAAAAAAAAAAATTAGCTGGGCATAGTGGCACATGTCTGTAGTCCCAGCTACTGGGGTATGGGGAGTGGTGGGGGCTGAGACAGGAGGATCCCTTGATCCTAGGAGGTAGAGGTTGCATTGAGCTATGATCATGCCATTGCATTCCAGCCTGGTGACAGAGTGAGACCCTGTCTCAAAAAAACAAAATGATGGAGTCTGTAAAATCATTCTTATAAATGTATTTCCTAGTTCTGTAGAAATGGTTATATTAGATGTTTTCTATCATTTAATAATATATACTTGCAGACTAAAAGATACAAGTTTGCATAAATGTTAAACTATCATATGTGCGTTTATTGTGTTTGTCATTAGCCTGAATAGAAAGGCCTTTAAAATGGATTTTTTAGAAAGCACTTGAAAATATTTAATTATTGCTAGAAAAATAAAATATAAAGGGGCCAGGTGTGGTGGCTCATGCCTGTAATCCCAGCATTTTGGGAGGCCGAGGCAGGCGGATCATGAGGTCAGGAGTTCAAGACCAGCCTGGCCAACATAGTGAAACCCTGTCTCTACTAAAAATACAAAAAAATTAGCCAGGCATGGTGGCATGCGCCTGTAGTCCCAGCTACTTGGGAGGGTGAGGCAGGAGAATCGCTTGAACCCGGGAGGTGGAGGGTGTAGTGAGCCGAGATTAACGCTACTGCACTCCAACTTAGGCAACAGAGTGAGACTTTGTCTTAAAATAAATAAATAATGAATTAAAGCCACTCTTTTTGCTTATGTACCCTTTCCCTTCCCCTCTTGGAGACTCTCATCATGTACCATTAATTTTTTTCTCCATACTAGATTATCATCATCAGCAAACATGTTTTACCATGCTTTCTTAACAACAGCAACAAAAAACCTGCAGAAAACATCTCTTAACCCTCCTTCACATCCTCATTCAGCGACAATCCTGTTTCTATATCTTTTTAGAACAAAGTGCTTTGTTCTTTGTTTTTTTCTTGAGGTAGGGTCTCATTCTGTTGCCAAGGTTGGAGTGCAGGGGCGCAATAATAGCTCACTGCAGCCTCCACCTTCTGGGCTCAAATGATCCTGCCACCTCAACCCCCCAAGTAGATGGGACTGTAGACACGTACCACCATGCCTGGCTATTTTTTTATTTTTTGTAGAAACGGGTCTCACTGTGTTGTCCAGGCTGGTCTCAAACTCCTGGGCTTAAGCAGTCTGTCTGCCTCAGCCTTGCAAAGTGCTGGGATTACAGGCATGAGCCACAAGTGCTTTGAATGAGTTATTTATACTTGCTTTCTCTGCTTACATAGTTCTAGTCTTTTTTTTTTCGTTTTTTTTTACATTCAATTACCCCATTGTAGAAGAGGAATAATTTATTTCTATATGATTTTAATAATGTTCCCTAATTTTCAGATTCAAATTAACAAGTATGTTTGTTAATCTAAATAATTACGTATTTATTGATTTATATATGTATATATTTTAATGTTTCTGTAATTCAGTTTTTAATGGTGAACTTTTACATGTTGGAAGCAGCAAAGGACTCAATATCATAGTACATTTTGATAGTATTTGATAGGCTTTTTCAGGTCAGTTAATTTAGTTGTTTGCAAATACAAATCAAGCTTGCTCCAGTTCCACAAGGACTCCACCACAGTCTTTTTTTTTTTTTTTTTTTTTTTTTGAGATGGAGTCTTGCTCTGTCACCCAGGCTGGAGTGCAGTGGTGTGATCTCGGCTCACTGCAAGCTCCGCCTCCTGGGTTCACGCCATTCTCCTGCCTCAGCCTCCCGA